CATGCAGCAGAATCAGAGTAATAAAAAATGTTCTGCAGAGTAACTTCTTACTACCAATAAGCCTGTCAACAGAGATTGGTAATGCAGATGTTTGCACCAAACTTGCTATATCTCTACTATTTTGTGAGGAGAGTCTCTTCTTTTTGGGTTTTAACTACTTTTTAATGGCTTCTTTTTTGATATTTTCTAAAATTTCCATGGTGTCTTTGGACTAAAAAATTTAGAGACAGCTTGATCGTCAATACACAATCACATGATCAAATTTCTGAAAACATAGATAAGTGAAAAATGAAGGTGGTACATAACTTTTACAATAATGGGGAAGAACACAACCAACTTACTTAAAAGAAAGGCCAAGCGACTGCTCGCCATCCTCAAAAATCTGCTTAAAAGAATCTTTAAAAACTGAATGTCCAAAACTTTCGGCGAGGACAACCAGTCCACCAGTTCTTTCAACTGCTACTTTCATCTCTGCAACCCCAACCTAGGCATGCATCCAAAGGATAAAGAAAATGATTTTAGCACTTGAATCAGGAACAATGGGTTGGCATTCCAATAATCAAGAATAACTTCAGGAATAGCACTTCTTTGTTTTTTTGGTGTTCAAAATGTGAAAAATGGACTTGTGTGTTGTGTGAGTCCACATGCAGGAAGGCAGGCATTCAAGAATGCATGTTTGTCTATGTGCACATATGTGATGAAAGAGACACCTAGCTGTCCATTGTATATCTGCAAGCCAACTGGTTACAAAAAGGCATAACAATAACAATAGCACGTGCTGCCGATCTGGGAGAAACATGAAATTAAGCATTTGAGTGTTTTGCAAACAATATCACATTCCTGTAAACCTTGGACGACGAGGGAAATCTGCAAATTGCACTCTTAAATTTGTGGTAACCTGAAATATTTGATTTCTTTGCTTCGGAAGTTCAAACAGTCCCTGTACTAATTAGAAGTTCACTAAGATGTCACAGTTATTTTTAACTAGACAGAAGTTTTACTTAGCAAATTAATGTGGTTCAACCAACCTTTCCTATAAATCATTTCCCTTGCATTTGATTAATTAATTTTAAACATGCCAAACCTATAATAGGCTCATACTTGCAACTGAAACCAAGCCAATATCCCAGAACAGCAAGTTTCCATCATAAGAAAACAAATAGTATCTTGATAAAAGAACAAAGGACTGAACTTTCCAACTATGGTCAATGTTGTCAGGTTTGGAAGTGGAGTTGATATATTCCAAATCTAGTGATTCTTTTAAAACTTTATTGACGTTGGAATGACAGCATGTAATGCATGAGATATTCCATTTGCATGCATCCTAAGCACATTTACTCACTTTAACTACTTGAGATGAACAGTCAGGACATCCATCAATGAAAAGATGAGTCATGTGGCAAAGACCTAATTGAAATTGCAATCTCGACTACAACACATTTTAGTCTGAACTCAAAACTAAAGCCAAAGTGCATATTATCACATTCCATCTTCTTAATAACAAGGTTCCAAATCAACTTTTAGCAAATTTAAGGTTACACTAAAATGATATAGATAAAACAATTTAAAGAATTAAACATGTGGGAGTGTAGATTGACTGAAGAAACTTGTTGTGGTTCAATTAGATAAAGTTTACATGTTAACTAAAGTCAAACTTAGAATGCAATTTTCTAGGTTCCTAAATCAACATAATAGGTTTTGTGGTCAGGTGGGTCCAAAACATTGTTCTCTAAGAGTAAAAGATTCATGTAACGCTTTGATGCTGCTGTTACTATATTATCCTTCTTGATATCATTTTCCAAGAACCTAAAAAAAATATTCTTTCTTTACCACACTAGAACCAAGAGAAAATGTTTCCTACATTACCAAAACCAGTTAACGCCAGTTAAGTTCTCCAAGTTTTCTGGTCTACTGTGGACAAAAGTAGTATCTAGATCTGTTTCTAGCCTCCATATATTTCTTCATGTCAAATGAGGTAATTAATAAATTTTCAACTTACTACTTACATTGCACTTCTTTGGAAACCCTAAATATCTAAAGCCTTGTAGGACTTCTACAATACAAAATGATACTAGATAAATTTTGTAATAATTAATGCCTCATTTCAGCAAACCAACCAGGATCATGGCATCATAAACAAATAACTCCTTCAAATTACTTACACAAAATCCTGAATCTGACTGCATCAATAAAAACTAATACGAGATAATAGGAGATATCACCAAGATCCCTCTCTTGAAGCCATTAAGCATTTTTTGTTTCCTCATCCACTGCAAATCTTTAAATACCTATCTTGGTCATGTTTTCAGTCATCAATTAAAGCACATATGTCATATATCATCTAGGCATTTCTTTAGATGTTGCACCTCATGAAACTGACGTTAGCTTTAGATCTTAAAAAAACTGATCATCAACAAACTCAGACAGTTGAGTATCAATCCCAGACCTTTAAAAAATAAATCCAGGTTCATAGTGACTATAAAACTGGAAGACATAAAATCTTAATGCTATAAAAGCATTCTGACATGTATGACAGGCCAGTGGTGAACATCTCTTACTTGTCTAGAGAAAAAAAACAAAATGACCAACTACTCATGATGTTATCATTTGGTAATCAATCTTTCTGTTACCAACCATCTGTAATGCATATATACAGCTGATTGAATAATTAAAAATGTCCTACTGGGACAACCAACAGCAACACTGACCTGATCAAGTGCTGAAGCGAAAAGGTCCAAGACATGACCCTGGTTAACCAGCTGCTTGGCAAGATTATCATAAAATTTAACAGCTTTGTGGAAATGTGGAGCAGCATCTTTATCAAGGTCTTTATGTGAACGCACTGGCTCCGATAGATCTTTTGACACAATCTGCCAATCACATATACAGTAAGTTCCATTGCTTAAAAGAGAAAAATTAACTGCTCAGGTACTAGGAAACAAATATAAGTTCTGGAGACACCAAAATAACATGATATAAACATTTATTTTAAATCACACCAGCCTATCTAGAAACTATGCTCACTAGTAAAATATCAGACATTGGAAATACATACTATCTTGTAGCACTGACAAGTGATTTTAGTCAATATTACATAGTCATTAGTTCAGAGTTATAATAGTTCCAGGATATAGAACAGTTAAAAAGCTTCGCATGTAAATTTCAGAAACCAACACTGACTCAATCAACATGTATAACCAAAAAAATAATCTATAAGAATATAAAATCAGATCTAGTTTCTTTTTCCAAATACAACATCAAAAGAACCAAGAAGGATGCATCAACAGAGTATAATATTTTACCATTCCAGGACCAATAGTACATGGCCCGCCAACTAAAGCTATGATGCGGGCACCAGTACCAGCACTACATGCACCCAGAAGACCAGCCGCTACACTGAGGGCAACTCCTGTACACCGCAAAGGACGATTCCCGGCTTCCACCGGCCACTGATCCATATGTAACTCATCCAGCAACTGGAGTAAAACAAAATCAAAGGGGAAAAACCAAACTATTAGCACAGAAGACATAAATAAGGTACCAATTGAACTAAAATGCGCAGAGAGATAAAAAATCTCACAGAATTGAGGGTGTATTCACAGTCGGATGTTGGAAGCAAGAATCTGTTTACAGACGTCGATGGATGAAACCCATTTGCTTGGGGTCCCTTCGGGTACCCTGGCGCTCCGGCTACGGCACCATGGCGAACCCCCGAGGCGGAAAGCCCCAACTGATCCAAGATCTGCTCTTTCGGGATCTCTTTCGTTCCCCGGAACACGTAGATCTTCGACATATCCGCAAAGCCCAGCTCGTGGAGGTGGACCTGGGTACCGAAGGTGATGAGCCCTACGAGGGCCTGGTCGGGCAGCAATCCGATGGCACGGCGCATGGCGGACTTGACGAACCCGAGTTCCTCCTCAATCAAGCAGGTGTCGAGGACGAAAAGAAATACGGGTGGCAGCGGCGGGGCGGCGGCGTCGAGTGGCGGTGGGGCGTACTCAACAGTGGTGCACTGGGGATAAAGCTCACCGGGAACGTTGGCCTCGCTGATTCCAGCGTAGTGCGGAGGAAAGTGGTTGCGGGAGAAGCAGAAGGGGCAGATCCAGATCTTGGCGGCGAAGTCGACGCGGGCAAAGGGGTTGAGGACGGCCGCGCAAGGCGGCTTGCAGCGGAGCGGGGAGTAGGGGAGAACGACGAGGGAGGGGGAGGAGCGGATCGGGGCGACGGAGGCGGCGACGGGGACCACGCACTTGCTCGCCTCCACCTTGGATCGGGGCCAAGAGTTCCAGGTCATGCGGACGCCGTCTGGGCCGTCGGGGTCAGGAGCGACGGCGGCGCCGCCTCCGCCTACGGCGAGGTCCTCCGCCATGGACGCGTCGGATGCGGTGGTCGCTATGACAACAGGGACGGACGACGATCGATCGCCGGCGACGTTTACGAGCGGAGGGGCAGAGGCGATCTGAGGGTGGGATCGAAAATATCACGGGAAGAAGAAGGATTGGAGATCGTAATTCTGGGAGCAAAATGGGGATAATAAGGTAAAAAGAGAAATCCATTTGACCTTTATCGTTTCGTTTCTTCTTTTGTCCGATCGAGTAGCGGTTCGGTCGAACTCATAGGAAACTGGACCGAACATAAAATCGATTTAACCCGACTCTGGGTTAGATTTGGATGCTAGTTTCTCACATTTACGCACGCACATCCAAAGTGATCAAATGGAGTTATTAAGAACCGACCCGGGAAAATAAACCACGGAGGCGATCCAGCCGAACCATCTACATCACTCCGGTCGACCGGATGAGATCGGGATCATACGCGGGCAACGCGGTTAAGGGCTCGGGTCGGCCCAACCAAGTCGGCCTTCTTAAGTTAGATATTGTCGAATGTTGCTCCCATAACGCACTATCGGGTCGGATAAATGGACTGTTGGATCTGATCCGAGTTTTTTCACACCTCTTGCGCGTAACGTAAGCGGTTTTCTGAAACATCGGAGCTGCTCGTTTCAGCCCGCTTAGTAAAACCGCGTGCGCCACCCACCTTAGTTTCGTGCCTTCCCATCTCCGTCTCCGTCATCGCACGTTATTTGGATTGACGCATCAGGAAGGATCGGCCGCTATCCTATACGAGATCATTCGGCCGATTAATTCGTCAATCACAATACTCGACTCGCAATTCCATCTCCGATGCCCGTCCTACACAAAGGAAATGCGTATCTTGTGTCGATCGGTTGAGGATTGGAGGCCGGCGTCCTATTTAGTGTTGGGTTTCCTCTCTTTCGGGTCGAAAAATTGTATATGATTTTGCCGGAATTTCTGGAGTTCTGTTTAAGGTAATTTGCCCTTATGCGATTCTTCCTTCCTTTTTTTGCGTTCGACGAGATTGGAAATTAGGGTTCGGTTTGTTTTCGGTTTAACGAGGGCATCGCGTTCATTTGGAACTCCTTTTGGTGGTCGGCGACCTTAATATTTTCATTCTCTTCAATCTGGAAGGTGGTGATGAAAGGGTGATTCTTTGGGGTTGATTTCGTTGTAAAGTGCAGCTCTTTTACTGTGATCTTGGTGTTGATTAATACTGGTAGATCTCAAAATTCAGCTTGCATCTTGCGTTTTGTGCGTGATGAATTTTTAGTTTTTGCGCCTTCTTATTTAATGTTTTTTGTTCGTGTAAGTCATTGGTCTTTCTTTTGTTCTTTTTTTTTTCTTTTTCTATTGTTTTTTTCTTGAGTTGTTTATCTTCTTTTACAGTTTGCTGTGAACTAGTATTGTCGAATGCCTTCAGAATCATGGCAGTTGTTCTGCAGTCGTAAAGATCCTTGTGACCTTAGTCCTTCATATTCTTTATCTAACTCGCTGATAGCATGGTTATGCTGATGATCACGAACTCTGACATCCTTTAGGAATGATTCAGACTAGTCGGAAATGACAACTATTCAAAATTCAGATTGGTGACTTAAGAGTTATATCTGTTGGACATCCTAATACCTGATTATGGAGTAACTAAAGAAACTTATTTGCTTGCTTGCTTTGGAATCTTTGGCGCCTAAAATCAAGCAGGATATAGTTTGTTGATTTTGGTACATTGCAACAGATGGCCTCACTGTGTAGAGGCCTGCTAGTGGTACTGCTTGTTTCTGTTTTTCTGAATGCTTCCTGCATTGCTGAGTCTGAGAAGGCAATTGTAAAAAGAATTCGAACAGCTCCTCAGAGAAACCTAGAAAATGTAGTCATTGATGGAACTGGCAAAATTGCTGGATTTGATAGCTCTGAAGGAAGTTTCCAAGGTTTCGATGACAGGAGAGTTGGTAATAGCAGAGTTTCAGTGTCAACTGTTGCATGGCTTACACTTGCCATGGCTGCAGCAACGGGTTTAGGTTCAGTTCCATTCTTCTTTGTAGAATTAGAGCCGCAATATGCGGGTGTTTGTAATGGTTTGGCTGCTGGAGTGATGCTTGCTGCAAGCTTTGATCTAATACAAGAAGGACAGATCTATGGTAGTGGAAACTGGGTGGTTTTGGGGATTTTAGCTGGTGGAATCTTCATTTTGCTTTGTAAGAAGGTAAGATGTTGTGTTTTTTCCCATTTCTTTCTTTTCATGAAGAGCAAATATCACGAATATATCTACTATCTTTTATCATGGATATTTATTCTGTTAATTTAGTTACTTGCTTATCTTTGTTATCTTTTCTGCATTTGTTGATCATTTGCTTTGCAGTCCTGAGGAAAATGAACTGATAAAAAGCATTATGTAGGTGAAGAATCTTACTTTATATCATCTCTCATATATGTTGTTGGGTTTGTGCACTGAAATTTAGTTATACAGTTCGAAGATGTTTAATCTATATTCTTGTTACTTGGATAATTATGTAATGCCTTCTTCAAGCTAACATGAGAGTATGATTGATGCAAAAAATGACAGAGAACCACCGAACAAGAGCCACATTTACAATTGAATCAGACTAGAAAAGCACTTGGCAAATTTTAATTTTGTTCAGTTAGGCTTGGGTCCTTTTTAGCTTTGGTGTGGATTAGGTAGTTGATCAGTTTTGAATTATATTCTGTATATAATTCTTTTAAAATGGAGTCTGATGATCATTCCTTTTCTTTTTAATGTTAGAAACCTAAGATGACTTAGATTAGGCATCAAATTCAAGTGAGTTCTTGACTTTCCTTATTGATTAATCTAACCATTTTATGTTTGCTCTGTAGTTACCAAAAAGATGAACAAACCGCACAGAGGATTTTTCCTTATGGAGTTCTGATTCAGGTGTCCCGTTGGTTGGGTTAAAAAAGAAGTGGCACAATTAAAGAAAATATGTTTGTATATTTTTCTTTTAGAATTAAAGGAAAGGAGGCTACAGATTTATAGAGTTATTTTCTGTTCTCTTTTTTTCTTACTTTTTTGCTTTAACATCTGCAGAGCAGCACTATTGGCCATCTGAGATTGGATTGAACTATTGTTCAGATCCAACACCCACCTAGTATCCAGAAATTAACTTAGGCTGGTTTCTGATGAATAATCATAAAATAGTTTTAAAAGAAACCATAAGAGCAACTTCGAATTTGGGTGGAAGGTACACTTTCTCATGCAGTGCAATTGGAATATGAAGACTTTAGTTTCTTGTTCCTCATCATACTTGGTCCTTTTAGATAAATGGGGTTCGAATATAGTGGTAGAGAAAACATGAACTGAAATTAAAGTCTTTTTTCAAAAGACAATCCTTATCTTTACAAAGGGGTGTCATCAACTTGTATACTTGAAGATAATGAATATATAAATTGAGATTCAGTAAACAGCAAAGTGAAGACTCAATATATCTTATACTAGCTCTCGGAGCATTTGATTTCCCTTGATAACCATATATTTTGAAGCAAGTTTCATCTCATATTCTCGTTTGAAACTCATATCCATAATGATTTTCTTTTTGAAATATTAGTTTGCCTTTAACGCTTTATGGATGGGCTATGAGTTCTTTCTATGTCGTAAGTTGATTGCTTTCATTAGAATACTATTTGGTGCATGTGAACAACATGGTTGTACCTAATTGCATTATCAATTTGGACAAGTATTTTGAATCATCTCCCTTCTTAATGGTCTGTCACACACCGTTATATTTAGAAGAAATTTCATGACTTATGATTTGCTTAGGCCTGCATCTAAATATATTAAGACTATGTACTACCACACATGCAGTTCCTTGAACAATATGGAGAGGTAAGCATGTTGGATATCAAAGGTGCTGATGCAAGTAAAGTTATTCTTGTTGTTGGAATAATGACTCTTCATTCGTTTGGCGAGGGCTCTGGTGTTGGGGTATCTTTTGCTGGCCCAAAAGGATTATCTCAAGGTCTTTTGGTGACGTTAGCCATAGCAGTCCATAATATACCTGAAGGCTTGGCTGTAAGCATGGTACTTGCATCACGAGGGGTTTCTCCGCACAATGCAATGTTGTGGAGTGTCATAACATCCTTGCCACAGGTAAATAATCAGCCTCGTTTTTCTTGTTAATTTTATGTGATTGTGCACAAACTACGGACATAGTAAATTTAGTCACTTGTTCGTTTTGGAAAGATTTTGGAGTTATAAGATAAAACTCTTACTGTTCAATTTCTAGTTTAGAATTGATACCAATGGACACGTGGCAACATATGATGTGAAGTCTTCCTGTTTCTTTTATCTTGTTTCTTATATTTTCTACTGAGTACCTTTTTTTAGGAAGCATAAGTTGAAACCTCTTTCTTTTTTTTTCTCTTGAACCTTTAGCCCATTGTTGCTGTCCCATCTTTCCTTTGTGCTGATACATTCCATAAAGTCCTGCCTTTCTGTACGGGCTTTGCTGCTGGCTGCATGATCTGGATGGTGATTGCAGAAGTTCTTCCTGATGCTTTCAAGGTAATTAATTAATTGGTGAGTCTTTAGTTCAGTATGCTTATCAGATGATGCTAGTAACTACTGAGTGAAGTGCAAGATTCCATGCATGGATAATTCAGGATTGATGTATATCAGTTAAAATGCTATCAGCTTGTTATTTGTTGCTTCCATTTTGCTGTTCCAGGAAGCAGTTCCTTCTCAAGTTGCTTCTGCGGGTACCCTTGCTGTAGCATTCATGGAAACCTTAAGCACAGTGCTCCAAGGTTTTAGCCACAGCCACAGGTTAGTGTTCAGATGTTATAGGTCTAATCCCTTGACTTGATCTTTTAGTTTTTTATTTTTAATTAAAGACTGGTATAAGTATTTGACTAGTAGCATGCGTTAGTGTCACGGTAAAATGAGAGAAAAATCTCATTCATCTTATTGCAGCTCTGAGGACACCTCTGGCTTTTTAGTATCGCTACTTTTTGGTCTTGGACCATTGCTGGGTGGCATCATCCTTGTTGCTTTTGCTCTGGCTTTCTACCTGCAACATTCGCTTCTCATAGGTGTGGCTTCTGGAATAGCATTTCTTCTTGCTATATGGAGGCCCCTACAACTACTTATGTCATCGAAGATTGGGTTCCTTTCCTTGTCATTCTTCCTCGCAGCTGGCTCTGCATTCTACCACATGGCCACAGCTTGCATCCCGAGGCTTGTTCGTCGCAGGAAGGCCTCCGTCAATGACATTGCATTTTCATCTGGTTTTTCCATCAGTGCAATCACTCTGCAATCATTTTTTGCATGTGGAGCTATCTCACTACATGCCTTGGCAGAGGGGCTTGCTTTGGGTGTGGCAGCCCCGAAGGCTTATGGACTCGGCCGTCACATGGTTCTTCCAGTATCACTGCATGGGCTCCCCCGAGGTGCAGCTGTTGCAAGTTGTATCTTCGGAGCCACTGATAGCTGGCGAGGAGCCTTAGCTGCATCGGCCTTGACTGGACTCGCAGGTCCAACCTCGGCGATCGGAGCTATACTTGCGGGCATCGACTACAACGGCCTTGACTATTGGATGGTCTTCGCCTGTGGAGCACTGGTTCCTAGTTTTGGCAGGATACTACTGCGAGCATTGAGACTGGAAGCAAGGAAGAGCACATATGGGTTCCTCATGGGGCTTGGATTTGCATCTCTGTGTTTGATGTCCACCAGACTGGTTTGTTTGCACACCCCTTACTGCAACTCTGCTCCCGAGGCTGTCACATAGCTGGTTGTGAACCTCAAGAGTGGTGTTGGACTCTCTTTTCTCTATATAGTATGTGGTGATTTGTGTGCAGACAAATTAACTGTTGTGGCCATTGGATTTTGAAGGAAAGAAAACATGAAGATATATTAAGATGATTAGTAATGAAGATGTGCCTTTTGGATTTTTTTTTTCCATCAAATTTACCATGGTATGAGGTTGTAAGGATTAAACATGATTGAAGTAACTGTCAGCGTATAAGAAAGTTGATCTTATTTTGTTCAGATGCTGACATTGCATCGTAGATGAAATAACGTGTGCTTTTTCTTCTATTTTTGATAGGAAAGATGGAATAAAGCATTATTAAATTATTTTTTATTAGCTATTTTTCTATTAAAACAATACCCAACGTATACAAATTCATCGTTATATGTTGGCAACTCATTGGTTTGATAATAATTTTGTTAGATGTAATGGGACCACTCTAAACCAGACTCGATCTCCAGCAAGTTAAAGTCTTATGGATTTCTGTACATATCTTCGATGCCCGTCTCAATCTTGAACACATCTGGCGCTTGATCGGGTTTATGTTGCATCCATCCGATGCTTTCGAATAGAGAGAGAGAGAGAGAGAGAGAGAGAGAACTCGATCAATCGACGGTGTGCTACATGGCCATTCTTCCCATGGCGAGAGATCTATGGGTATAATAAAAAATCCAAATATGAAGTGATAATCTTACATTTCTTATATCCTCAATCAATCATATATTTAAGTATATGATTTGATTATATAATTTAAGTACATAATTGAGTGCATTCCTTATAAACATATATTATCTTAATAAATAAAAAAATAAACTTCTTAATTCTTCATGATATCATAACTCTCTTGCTTCAAACAAAAGGCTTTCTTTCCTTCCTCCCCTTATCTCTTCCCTATTGGAACTCGCTAATCTACCTAGCAATGCAATCTCCTTGTCATCTATTGTCACTACTACTATCGCTGCAACAGCAATCCCTTTCTCTTAATTATTTGTACTATTATTGGAGTTCCTCAAGTGAGCCTCCTCCCTCATCTTCCTTAACGTCGACAAGCCCTATCCACAATTGCCTTGAGCATCCTTGTCGTCATTGCCTCTTTAGAGGCCCCGATAATAACCCTAGCCTTCCACCTCTTCCTCTCCCGCCTTTCCAACTCCATCCACCACTCCCTCCCCAACTGTTGCCCATGGTCGAAGCTCGTCGATCGCTTTGCCTTCTCTTGCTCAGATTCCCTCACGGACGCCACCTCCTGCCTCCGCAAGAATCTCACCTACTTTTACATCAATTACATGACTATCATCGTAGTTGTCCTCGTAATCTCTATAACTAGTCATCGACCTTTATTGGCCACAAACATCACTGCTAACTTTGTTGATGTCCTCAAATGCCTCTTTCAATGTAGATCTCATATCTAGGGCTCCTTTTCAATGATGAATCACATCGCTTAGCAAACAACTTGGCGATTGTTCTCCTCTACCTGTCGCAAAACACCAATCATTATCGTTGATTGCTTTGCTCGGTGATCTTCATCCCAATCTGCAATATTCAACATAGATATGTAATTTTCTTCCTCCCAAATTTATGCATTACCACTACCATCACATATCTACAATCTTCTCTCTTGCGACTCCATCATTACCACTGCCCTCACTACCACTATAAAAAGAAGGGCCTTCTCTATATCTCCTCCATCGTATACCAGATCATCAGTTGCTTCAATTTTTATTTACTTAGGAAATAATAATCCATCACAATTTATAAGATTTATATCTGTTAATGCATTTGAAAGAAGCAACTATGCATTTGATAAGCACAATTCACAAACCTCCTAAGTATGATCTATTAGGCTACATCGATAGTTCTCTTAGTTGTCCATAAGAAAAGACCAAATACTAGGAGAACCCGTCTCAATGGTAAATCCTAACTATAATTATAACTCCGATAAGATTATCTTATTTTACAAGCAATTTAAGCCTTAATTGTTAGATCCATAGCACCAATAATCTATTTATGTAGCACTACAGTAAAAGCATAGTCCAAGTTACAAACTATCCTCACCAATCGCTCTAGCACTCACATGCTAAGTCTTTTATTTATTTTGATAAAAACAACACAAGAGAGAAGTATTATTACTGATTATATGTAAAATTTAAAAGTTATTATATATAACTTGATTTTAATAAGTTATTCCCTAAGTGATAAAGAAGTCATCATTCATACTCTCAATTACTTAAGAGATGAATATAAGGAACTAGTGGTAGTAATTTGGGCATGACTCACCAATATCATTTGAAAAACTATATAACAAATTAGTTGATCATTAAATATATCTGAAATGAGAAAAAATGATGACGAGATCAACCATAACAACTTAATTCAATAAAAAAAATTTAAAACAAAGAAAAATCAAAGCAACAAAAACTTCAATAAAGGACCTAACAATTTTTTTCCTAGAAACATAGATAACACATAGAGTCATCATCCTCCATTACACTATCACTCTCCAACCATGATAGCAACTTCAATCCAAACAACTCGAGAAATAATTTCAACTACAACTATTAATAGTTTTGGCATCCCAACAATGATAATCAACAAAAAGTCAACTACTAGCTATGTGACAAAATTAGACACAGTAAAAGTTTGTTAGTCTCCCCCAGACCTACTACTATACCTAATTAACCTCAAGTAAATATCATGACTACTTCAACTACTCATTCAAACAATTGGATTGTTGACTATAGTGCTTCTCATCATATCACTTCTGATTTGCAAAACTTATTCATCCACAATGACTATAAAGGCAATGAAGATATCATCGTTGGTAATGGTAACATAATCCCTATTACTCATACTGGTTCCATGATACTTAATTCACATACAAACACTTTCACACTTGATGATATTTTATATATATATCTCATATTAAAAGAAATCTTATTTCTATTTCTCAATTCTATAAATAAAATAATGCATCTATTGAATTCTTCCCTAACTCGTTTCTTATAAAGAATTTAAGTATAGGGGCATCCTTGGTCCAATGCCAAAATAAAGATAACATGTATGAGTAGTTGTTAGATTCATAAATCACCTAGCTAATCGGTCTTGCTTCAATCACTGCTCCAATCGATGTTAGGCATCGCCGCCTTAGTCATCTATCATCCTCCATTCAATAATATCTAATTTCTTGTTACTTCCTTCCATCTTTTAAATCAAATAGAATTGCAACTCATTGCGATGCTTCTCTTAGTAATAAAAGTCGCATACTATCTTTTAGAACATCTTTCATACCCTACTTTAAACCACTTATATGAAATTATATATACTAATGTCTAAGACCCTACCCCACCACTTCCTTTGATAATTTCATATTTTATTTATTTTCGTATATTATTTTACTAAATATATATATTTATACTCTCTCAAACATAAATCTAGAGTCATCACAATCTCTACTTATTTTAGAAAGGTAGTCGAGAACTTCTTCCAATCTACCATTAAAACAATTTAGGAGATGAATACCAAGCTCTAACAATTTTCCTTACATCATGTGGTATAAAATATATTAAGTCATTATCACACACACCTCAACTAGTTGCCTCTATCGAACGAAGACACTAGCACATAGTTAAAACCAGTCTTACCCTCCTATCCTAAACCTCTATGCCAATAATCATTTAGTTAGTAGCCTTTCGTACTGTAGTCTATTTCATTAACCACATGCTCATTCCAATCCTACAACATCAGTCATCGTTTGAAAAACTATTTCATAAAATCTCAAACCTTCAAAAACTTAAAGTATTTGGATGTTTAAAATATCTCTTGTTATGCCTCTATACTTCACATAAGTTAACACCAAGATCGAAGCCTTATATCTTCATCAAGTATTCCCTTGAACATAATACTTTTCGATACTATGATCCTAAAACTCAAGGTCATTGTATCACATCATGTTATTTTTATTAAGTCCATCTTTCCTTTCTAAAATCTTTCTCTTTCAGTAATACGGGCTACTACAATAACCATCAATTATTGGGTTCATATGAGTATAGCTTACCCCCACTCTCCACCACTAAAATTATTTAAATTATATGACGATAGCTATACTATGGATCCCACACAGTGCCGATAAATATTTAGTTTTTTTACAGTATTTATCTCTCACACATCTAAACATCTCATTTGAAGTCAATAAATTATCATAATTCATATATTGGCCCTTAATTGTGCATTGGTCTACACTAAAATGTGTCTTAAGATATCTTAAATAGACTCTCAACCATAGACTTCTTCGTAAACATTTATCACTTACCTTAATGCTTTCACCGATATTGATTGAGTAAGCAACACTAAAGATAGAATATCTATGTCAGCCTATATTATCTTTTTTGAGACAAATCTGATCAATTGGAGTTTCGAGAAAAAAAAAGTCGTAAGATCCACTACTGAAGTTGAATATCGAATCATCACTACTATCACTATAGAATTTAACTAAGTCGCCAATCTGAACTTGGTATCATCTCCTAATCTACTCTTTCAATATACTATGATAATATTGGTGTCACCTACTTATGCGCCAATCTAGTGTTCCACTCACACATGAAACACATTATCATCGATTTCCAATTTATTAGATATTATACTTTTGATCAACTATATGTTGTCAGACATCAACTACGTATTTCTCACATTTATACTTTTGACTAATTAGTAGATTTCCTCGTAAAATCTTTCGCTCACATGATATTTCAGTTGCATCGATTCAATATTGACATCATTGACGAAAGCTCAATTTTTAATTTTACGGGAGCATGATAAAGACAAATATGAAATGACCTTACATTCTTACATCCTTAGTCAATCTATCATATGAGAATTAATTACAGATTTGGGTACATAATTTAAATATACGATTGAAAAAAATTTATTCCCCAAAATCTATATAAATATAGATTATCTTAATAAATAAAACAATAAGCTTCTCATCTTGTCAGCAGTGACGCGATGTGTCATATTATTGCTTCGGGAATGGAATAGTGGGAGTTCTAATCGCGCTGGTGTTTCGAGCGAGCTGATTTCATCGGAGGAGATACGGGCGTAATTACGTTGTTCGTTAGGTGACTTTGTCATCATCCTTTGTGCTGGAATCT